GACTCCTCGCTCCTTGTGCACAGTCTTCCATATAATCCAGTCCACCACAATTAAGAATATCATCCGTGATAGGAGACAGCCAGTCTGTCTTTATCCCGTATGCACTTCGAATGGCTCGCTGAGTTTCCCTATGTGGATCACCCGACACGTGCTACTGTCATACAGCTTTTGAATGAGGCTGATAAAGACTTGAGTTGCGCCGTATTGTTGAAGCAATTTCCAAATTACTTCTCGGTCTACGGCACACCGTCGAAGGCCTTTTCGAAGTCAATGAAGTTGAGGTAGAGACAGGTTTTACTGCCATTCTATGCTTTGTTCGCTTACAATGAGGGTGCGTAGAGGTGCAATTTGATCAGCACATGATATGCCTTTCCTGAACCAAGCTTGTTCTGGGAGGGCGGAGTTCTGTATATAGCGCATCCTTTATTCTCTCCAGGGTGGTGCGACTTAGTATTTTACTTGGCGTGGACAAGAAAAATATTCCACATCACTCAGATCTTGCACAGGCCTAGGTCACCCTTCTTTGGCAACTTGACGAAGCAGCCTTTCTTCAAATCAGTAGGCAACTTCCCTTCCTTTCAAACCTTTTGTAACAGTGGCGTGAGAACACCTACCACAGTCTTTGGGTCCATTTTAATGGTGAATTTCGTCCGGTTCTGCTGCCTTCCCGGCCGCACTTCAGCAGCTTGACCGCATTTAAGATTTCTGCTTTCGTTGTGGTGTTGGTTTTCACTGGCCGGCAGTTCTGTGCGTGCTGTTGGTGATATTTCTGGACGAGTTGCAGATGATGGCCAATTCAAGAGTCCTTTGAAGTGATCAGTTGATTGTTTTATTTGTTTCTTCTCCTCGGTCATCCGGTTTCCTTGAGCATCTTTTATTGGTTTCATCACTTGGGTTGATCTCACCCTGGATAGCGAGCAGCCTGGCTATCTGTTTGCACTAACCAGTAGATTGAAGTCATCCAAGGAGTCACGACCAAGGATGAAGACTGCTATTGGTGTTTATGCGAGGTGTCCGAAATGATCAGGATCCAAATAAGTGATATTTCTTGATATAATAAATTTATAGCTCAGATGGATGATTTACAATTAAAACAGCCAGCTCAGAAAACGCAAACAATTGCAAAAGTGATAGTTTACCGTAAGTATACATATAAGTTTGACGAGCTCCTCGGAATGACAGTCTTCAGGCAGTCTGAAGGAGAAATTACTGACATTAGTTGGTCGGAGTCAATCGGTAGGAAACCCATTCTGACCCGGGTTTCGTGCTAGTTGGCATTAGTTAGTAAGGCGTATCTACAACCTTGAAGACATTCATGTCCCTTATGAGATTCGAACCCGCATCACTCGCTACTGTAGTCAGACGCATTAGTACTGACATCAATTCCCGCATCGGCTGGGCTTAAAGTACTTTCGGTCCTGCCCCTCACACTGATTAGATGGCTTAAATGGTTGCCAGTAACAGCCGTCGTCATTAATATCTGGCTTGTGAGTTTCTCTTAGCAGCCTCATTATTGCTGAAAGCCCATAGGTATGTATCGAGTGGCACTATCTCCGGATTTCTTATGGTACTAGCACGAGCCGCGGGTTTCCCTAGTTGTCTCAGATGGCATCTGCAAGGATGGTGTCTGCGTTTCCGTTTCCATGACCAACTACGACGCACTTTGAGGCCTGAAACCGTTGCTTTCAATTCTGCAATTTGTGCAGTTAATGATCATACGGTTGATATCAAGAAGAATAACACTGTTGCAATAACGAAAATATGGAAAGACTAAACCGCAAAAAATTAAGTGATACGAGGTAGGTGAAGATAAATGTACAATCAGAATCACAAATGAAGTTGTCGACATTTTTAAAAGAGGGCCCTGAAAAGGATGTTCGCCGCGAAATCGTTTAGAAGCGTGTTCTCTAGTCGTCTGTAGCCATTCAGTAACCCGAAGGACGGATCCCGCACAGTTAACTAACTCTGTGTGCACCTATCAATTCACCTGCTTTTGCGGAGCTGGGCGTATATTTCGACTTAGGCTTTGTCTAAGACGGTGCAAGAACACCATCCTGAATGGTTTCTAAGAGGTGGAGATGGGGATATAAGAAGAGCAATAACTGAACGTCTGGTTGCCTTTTATGGCAACCATTTCATTCAAGGTTGTCTACAAGGAGAAAAGTTGCTGGCCGAAATCACTGTATTCCAACCATGTGCATTGCTGAAGTCTTGGCCATCTGTGCGTACAAAGGTTTTTCGACCCCTGAAACCATTATAGACTCAATCTGTCTATGCTGTGCAATGATAACTCGCAATCATATTTGTTTCTCGTTGTTTGTTCAGTTCGTATATCCTTCCCTCATTATATCGGCTGTCATTATTAGTTTCACTTTGAATAGTGACCGGTATTATCCCACATTTCACCTTTATTTTTTGTCTGTATTTATATATTGAGTATGTTGTCATATTCACCACCCTGTTACGTAAAGTTTCAATTGCTTACTAATATTACTATTTCTACACCCCTTTGAGATTTCAACACTTCACGAACTATTTTATAGGGTACATTACCAATTATTTCTGTCACAATGCATGCTGTTAAAATAGTTATATGCATACTAGTGTACAGCTTGATTTTGCGTGCACCTTATTCCCTATATAGTATGTGCATGCATGAAAAGCGTGAATATACACAGTGTTCCAACAGCCAGGAATGTCATGTTTTAATTTGTGACTAATGCCGCACGAAATCATCTTTCCTCCTGCTGAAGATTTCAGCCCGACGAAGAGGACTAAAGGTGTTGGAGTGCTTGGTCATGCATGCAGGCAAAGTAGCAGAAAAAGCATAGCTGAGTGGGGGAAATTATCTACACAGAAATTGTAACAGAAAGTTGTTTTTCTTACAATAGATTTGGGAATTATTACGGATTGGTAATTTCATATACGTATGTATTTATATGTGTACATAGCCAAGTTCCGTACATACCTGAATACTCACAATAAAATTATGGAATGCTATAAGCTCCACTAAGTAATCGTATTTGTAATTTGGAGTGGAAGAGTAGTTGAGAAAGGGGGAAACGCCCATAGGAGAAGGATAAGCCCTCTTCGATAGAACTCTTGCCACTTTAAACAGGTCCTCATTGTGACACCGACGACAACGGCACATGTCAAGTGATCCACAACGGAAAACTCAGCGAAGCGTTTGGAGTAAACACAGGAGTCAGACAAGGGTGCTTATTATCACCAATGATATTCCTAATTGTGGTGGACTGGATTATGCGTCAGACGGTGGGAAACGAGAAGACAGGGATATCCTGGACCGACGTGAAGAACCTAGAAGACCTGGATTTTGCGGATGATTTATGTTTGATGTCACACAAAATCGAAGACTTACAAGCGAAAACCGACAAACTGGTCGAAGAAGCAGCCGGCAAAGATAGGACTCCAGGTGAATATAGACAAGACGGAGGTCATGAAAATAACCAACGAACAACAACAACAGCAACAACATCCAGCGCCAATCACCATCAACGGGAGGGATTTGAAAGAGGTTACTTCATTCACTTATCTGGGGAGCATTGTCTCAACCACAGGAGGAACGGACGAGGATGTCAAATCGAGAATCGGGAAGGCGAGAAACACATTCATCGACCTGAAACCAATCTGGAAATCTTCGTCACTCACCATCAACAACAAAATTCGGATTTTCAATACAAACGTGAAGTCAATTTTGCTTTACGGATCAGAAACTTGGCGAGTCACCAAGAATATTTTCAACAGGTTGCAGACCTTTATCAACAACTGTCTTCGCTCCATACTGAAGATTAGATGGCCAGAAAGAATCACAAACAAGAAGCTATGGGAACAAACGAAACAGGAACCAATCGCCCAACAAATATGCAGGAGGAAGTGGAGATGGATTGGACACTCGCTGAGGATTAATTTAGGTAACTGTCACAAAGTGGCACTTCCGGAAAGATACTAAGTATTTCTAGATAGAATCTAGGGCTTATTACTAAATGAGGACAGTAGTACTCCCTAAGCACAACACAATTGTGTGGTTACCACCTTTTCATTTGCTGGCTACGGAAGAAAGATGGAAATCTTAGCAAATCCGCAATGTACGTGTACACTTGCCAAGAGAGGAAATTTAGACAGGGTGAGCAATTACCATAAAAATTGACTTTTCTCTTGTTCACCCTCTGCCCCCACCCCAGTTTAGCTTAAGTGCTGTCTCTGCATTTTGCATGTTAATTGGCGCTGAGATTCCAATTCCATGGGTCAGCAAAGAGATCTCTTTTCGCAACTTCACTTCAAAATTTTACAGTTGTTTAGGGGGTTTGTGCATGCAGTGTAGACTGACAACAGAGGTCAGAGGTTACTGTCAGACAATAACAAAGCATGAATATTGACCGCATCCGAATAATTAATAACGGCTAAATGTAATCAAGAGGGTTTATAACTTATTAGTTGGATGATGAATAACTGCTTGGAAATAGGTGACAATAGGCAAGAGAACAAAAGGTTGAAACTGAGCTGCAAAAACAAGACAGACTACGTGGGGTTTATCATACAGTTACTGCTTGTCTTCTTGGATAGCTTTTATTATTCACGCAATTTGATACTCTTTGTTACCAACTGGCAATAACTTCTGATCTCTGCTGTCAATCTGCGTAGCGTATAGAACCCCTCTAGGTAGTTGTACAAAAGTAGGTCTCTCTGCTGAATAGTGTTTATAGATGACGTTGAAATGTCTCTGGTTTGAAAGCATCTTTTTGAAAAACCTTATAAACAAATCAATATTCCGAACCATTCCGAAACAAGAAATGACAGACTTAATAGATATCTTAGAAATTGGATATCAGGACACTTAGTGACTCACTGTGTTGAGCATATGTGCAGCTGGCTAGAAGTTATGTCTACAGAATCGAAATCTAATAAAGACCTAGAACTAACTAACAACATTGAGGAGTGCTCGTCAAATAAGCAGTATTTCAAGAAATGTGAGACAATAGGCGGTATATTTGAAGCACTCGTTACGCAGTTTTGAGAAATACGGCGTGCTTTATTGACAAGACTTAAAGTAACTCACGGTTGTTGAATATTTTGGTAGAGCTATATATCAAAAAGTTAAATCATTGATCAGGATCAACTTACGTAGGGTAATATACAAATGTGTGTACAAGAAGATGAAATCTATGTGATATCATATGTAACACTTCAAAGACATCCCTAGTGTTAGTTTTGAAAAAGATTAGTTATCTGACTAGAGGAAAATAGGGATTATGGGCTGATTAAAGAACAGAATCAGAAATACAAACGGATCTCAGGATACTGTTACTAGTCATCTCTTTAAACACTTCATTTATTTATTTTATTTATTTTGATTTACAGCTTGATTCCACACCGTATTTTCAGTACAAGTGTGGAATTTTCAGCATGGATATCGGTAGCCCAAATTCAGGCCGACCATAGATATCGGGTGTGCGCCGGCAGGGGATCGAACCCCGGACCATGTGCATGGTCGGCGAGCGTCCTTACCACTGTGCCACCGACGCACATGACTTTTATTGCTCCCTAAATCTAATTAGTTGCTCAACATCAGTGATGAGACTAGTCCAAGTGGTCGCTGTACTATAACTTCGCCTTAGCAGAGTCCAACCAAACGAGATACATGGAGAAACACACGTACGCAGGTTTACCTGCGAAGTGAAAATGTGGAAAATATCCAAAGTTTATGAGGAGAATAGTTTGTATGCTTCTATGTTGTAATTCATCTATCTCTTTATACTGTCCCAAAAGTGGTCCTCACATGGCATGTGTATACTCACTTTCTACAGCAGAAGATTCTATTCACTGATATACTTTGTTGTTAAATGTGAAGTCGACGCCTGACAAAATTCGTCGACATTTCAGAGATGAGGAAGTTGTATATGTACTGTTTGAACTTTCTCAAATATGTACATTTCTTACATTTGTTGAACACTGTTCAGGTCCTGCAGCTCCTCTTCACGGATTTTTATTTAAAGTTGAAAAATCTGACAAGTTATATCGGGTGTCTTTTTAATAAATCAAATAGGTTTTCTTAACCATTCATAGCTAGGAAATCATGTTGGGTGTTGGCAATGTGAAAGTTTAATTCCTGTGAAATAACATTTACGGCTTAAAAGTGTGCGTAGAGTTAGTTTTGTTATTCACAGTTTGACATTATCCCATAAGCAGATAAATACAGTAACCTAATTGTGATAAGTTGTTAACAGTCTATTGTATACTACAAATAGAAGTGAAGTCATTACATATGTAACGCTAATTTTATATTTGAGTGTTCCTTACTACTTTGTTCTTTTGGCTGGCCGACAGGGAATCCTATGTTATTTATTGAAGATAAACAGTTGTCATTGTCATACCCCTAAGACAAGTCAAAGTCCAGTCATCCGGAATAGATGATTTATATTTCAATCTGTGTGCTTTGCTTATTGTGTGGGTATTGATGAAACTTTCCGAAATGCAGTAATGTAGACGAGATTCAAACATGCATGTGCGTTGGTGGCACAGCGGTTAGGACGCTCGCCGACCATGCACATGGTCCGGGGTTCGATCCGCGGCCGACGCACATCCGATATCAATGGTCGGCCTGCAAAATTTGGGCTACCGATATCCATTCTGAAAATTCCATACTTGTATAAAAATTACTGTGCGGAGTCAAGCTCTAATAATTAAAAACTAACTAGCTGAAAGTCAGTTGCTTAAACCAATGAAATATATCTTCATGTAATGCAGATGTTACTACTTATCTGTTTCTCCGGCATCATTTCCACTCTTTTTTTGAAAACATTCGCTGGACCTATAACTTATTGGTTCTTTTAAAAGACCTCGTTTTCTGTAATAAGTGACTTTCCTGTTATCTCTTTGAATTCCATCTCATTTAAATTTTGGCCTTTATCATTAGAATACATGTTTAATAAAGCGAAGTGTCCTTGGAATTCAGGTAGTACAGGACTGTTTCCTGTCTGTAAGAACCTCCTAAGTTTCATTTCAGTTGTGTCAGTTACCGTAGTATCATATACTACGACAAGTGTGATGGAAATATGAGGTTGAGTAAGGTATCAATTATTTGCATCTTGTTAGTGATCACAATTTCTCTTATTTGAAGGGTTATCATAGTCTGTTACATATCACTTTCACTGTTGAAAGCTGAATGGAAAGCAGGGCTGAACTATCAAAGCTGTATCAGTTGTACATCTTGAAATGCTTAACTCCATTGAAACAAATTCACTACATGTATTCCATCAAATAATCTTACAAAAGACCTGTAAAATATTATTGATTTTTACCAGTTAATACTTTTTACACAAACTGTGAATTTATTGTATACTGAAAAGTCGAACCATTCTGATTAATTATGCTTTTATTATTATATACTTTTCAGCTTTACAATTTGGTCTAGTTAATCCTAATTTCGTGTACAGCCTCTATGTATCTGGTCTACTGACTTTACAATCTAAATAGATTATAAAAATGACTACTCGCAACCAACTGGATCTTAAAATTGGTGTGGATGGTATAAGTTGTACAGATTTCTCAGTTGTCGATGATAAGATTGTGCTTGCAGTTGGTACATGCGATGGGAGAGTTCGTTTGTAAGTATTGAATTTTTGCCTTAAAATATAACTGTATAGTTTAGATATGATTATATGGATCAGTCAAAGTCGCTGTATCAACGTCGTTGGCATAAAACTATTCGATGCTTGTCGTTTTTTCCTTCATCTCCAAATTTATTAGTCTCAGCTTCTAGTCAAAGTGGAATAAAGATACATGACATGACAACTGAACAACTGACATGGAAGTGTCTTCAAGCTCATGGAAAATCGCCTATATCTAGCCTTTTAGTTCTGGAGCATGGCCAGTGGCTTACTGGGGATGAAGATGGAGTAATCAAGGTGAGGAAATGTTTTTGATAGTTGATTTGTAACGATTAAATTTTTTTAACGAGTTGATCACGGATTGATATCAGTTAGAGAACCATTGAAAGCCAGGAATTACTGGACAGCTGGATCATCCCATGTTTTGGACTCTTCAGCAGTACGTAGCCGCCGGGATTTGAACCCAGGACCTTCCAGTTGCAAGGTAGGCTCTTAGACCCAACCCAATGACTCATGAATTCCAGCTTCTACCAATTCGCAGATTAGCGTGACCATCAGCCAATCTCGTTGGTGAGTATTCGTCCTCACACGTGATCTGGTGCTCACTAGTGACTGGCTACAGGACGATGTTGCTTGGAGTTCTGTTGAGAGCTCGTGACCAGTGGGGTTCACTAGGTCTGTCGTGAAGACAAATACTTGCTGATTACATTGGCTGGTGACCAAGAAAATATCACGAATTGGTGAGGGTTGAAATTCATAGATCATTGAATTGGTTTCTAGTGGTTAAATGGTCTAAGAGCTTGCCTTGCAACTGGGCAGCCCTGATTTAGAACCTCTGTTGGGGCGTACCGATGAAGAGTCCTAAAGTGGGACGAAACAGATGTATGTCGAGTACACCCTGATTTCCAATGACTCTCTAACTGACATCAATCCGTGATCAATCTCGAGACAAATCAGATCCCTACAGAACTAACTTATAAAACTTAAGATTAACTCTTTTTCTCACTTTATTGTTGATAACAAATCGAGGGATTATGTGTGATGAATATATCTCTTCATTTGTGGTAGTTTTACACATCAGAATAGATCTTCAGTTGTATATTGAAGGCTTCCAATCAACTGCATCTTGTTTATTTAGTTTTATTTGGTTATAATCGTACTTGATTAATTTTTTTCTCTTTCCTTCACGTTCCCCAGTGGAACATAGGGCTTCAAGCTAGTGGCTTGAAGTTTCTGTAGCAGTGTTTATTTTACAGGATGGGGTTGCTAGCCTCATGCCCAACCTTTCCTCTTCACCAGTATTATTTCTGGCTTAGCGAGGTAAAGGAGTGCGTCTGTCGGGGATCGAACCCCGGACCATGTGCATGGTCGGCGAGCGTCCTAACCACTATACCACCGACGCACACTTGATTCATGCTGTATTCTTAAACTATAGTCACAAAAACACTAAAATATTATGGTCTGAAGCTTCTGTAGCCAAATAAAGAGTACCTAGTTTGGTAAATGATTATTGAACAACAGTCTGCTGTGTCCTTTATGTCTGTGAAACACATGGACATGGGAAGTGCAAGACTTGAAGAGGTGGTTACCTGTCTTCGACCACATTAGTGTAATAATAATAGTCACTTTATTTCAAGCAGTAATATTCCATACGGAATAAAGTTTTCAACGTCTGTACATATGACAACAATTTACTTCCTTTTATAAATCAATACATATATAAAATAGTGACTTGGCATGGTACAGGACGGAGTTTCTTGGAGTTCTAGTGAGAAGTCGTGACCAATGAGGTCCATCCAGACGTCAAGTGTGAGGATGGAGTTCCCACCGATGACATTGGTAAGTGGTCGCGCTAAATCACGAATTGGTAGTTGTTAGAATTCATGGCCTGGTCATTGAAGAGTCGGGTCCCAGTGGCTGAATGGTATACGAGCCAGCCTGCCTTGTAACCGAAGGTCCTGGGTTTCAACCCCACTGTGGTGGGTTTGTACTGCCGATGATTCCCAAACTAGAATGAAACAACTGTCTAGTACTGCCTGGTTTTCAATGGTTCTCTAAATGATATCAATCCGTGATCAACTCGTTAAAAACAAAACTAATCCTTACAAACCAACCATAGAAAATCACAAATACTGAAATTTAACAGAAGCAATATAATATGTTATAATTTTGGTTATAATTAGCTGCTTACTTACTGACCTGACATTTGTCCCTCTTCACACTCAAAACCCGTGCTAAATATTTGGTATGGTTGAATTTTATATTTTGCCGTGTAAGCATAGCTTCTTACAAATTTTATTTTGGTTTTACCTGAAGAGATACAAAGAGACACTTGAGAGTATAGAGGATGTTCTGGTATCAAAAACAAGATGACTTTACAGGGTTTCATCATTAGCTGACATTGCTTACAGAACCACTGGAGAACCTGGGAGTACTGGACAGCTGTTTCGTCCTAGTTTGGGACTCTTCATCAGTACGCATCAACCACAGGGGTTTGAACCCAGAACCTTCAGGTTACAAAACTAGAGAGCTCGTGGGCCATTAAGCCACTGGGACCCGATCCAATGGCTGTTTAGCCAACTGTTTGCAAGAATTAAAATGCCTGTCAACCAACAACAACAATGTCAGTCAGTTGAGCCAAACAGACACACCACTAATCCTACTTACAGCCTTAAATGGTCTGTGAAATATGACAGCGTCTTTTTTGAGAAGCTCAGCGAGGAATATACATGAATTGATAATTCGTATGAGAAAAGCTTGCATCCGAAAGTCTCAGCTTCTTTATATTATGAGTCAACCGAAAAATTATTTTTAGAAATCAACAAGATATGAAACGACCAACAGAGATTTGAAGAGAAACTGATGCCATGATAGGTAATAGTCGATTTTTTTTCCTGTCACAGTGCCGTCGATATTACAAAAATCATCAGACTAAATCAGTCCACTCAAGTCTCGCTCATGTGTGGAACTAAAATTAGCAGTTTGACATTTAAAGGAATTTAGTTTAGGACCATTGGTTAACTTCAGACTGGAAACTGTTCGTGTTAGAACAGTCTAATTCAGAAAGAGCTGGGTCAGGTATTGTCAGATCATCAGCATATTTAATGAAATTGGCTTTATCTTTCGTGTTAAGTGGCATAATATAGTGAGCAATAATGAGGTTAGGCTTAGTGTTAGGTAAGAAAGAGCGAGTCAATCGATGCGGTTACGAAGCTACATGGATCTAAATGTCTGGGGTACGTGTTATGCATGCCAATCCACCGCCTCCCTCGTCGAGCAATGTCATCTGATATAGGATTAGGTTAGAAAAGAGCCAGAGGTGATCAAATTAAAACCTCGCATCCATTCATGAAGTCTTTGACTGCTGGTTTAGGCTACATAGTGAGGTGTAGATTGACTAGTGGGTGTTATCAAGACGCCAGGTACTAATGGCTAGAAACTATTGGTGACATGGTTCAAAATCGTCCTTAACGGCGCAAATGCACCCACTCTTTCTAATCCAGACCCGTGTTATTCAGCTGAGTGACTCACTGGTTTCAACGTAGAACTTTGCAAAGACGTGCAGCAGTTCGAGTTGCCACACCCCTTCCATGTAGCACACAAAGTAATAGAGGAGAGTCAAGAGAGATTCAAAAGAGAGAGAGATAATAAAGAAAAGTATGAGTCAGGGAAAAGAATAGTAATATGGAAGAACAATATAGTTTTATTGGATATTATAAGTCACAAGGAGTGGATACATCTGCACCAGTCATTGAGAACGAGGATTTTGAGGCATATCAACAACTGTCTCCAGCCATTGTTGTTTACCGTCCCAAGGATCTCAACCACCAGTCAGGAAGTCTACACCTTCCTTCGTGGCTGGCTGGCTGGCTTAAACTAACTGTTGTTGATTTCACTGACTGATAAAGCCATGTTTTGGTTTGACCACCATGTGCTAACTCTTTCCCAACCTGATCCATCCTATGTCAGCTAACACTTCCCTTCACGAAACCCGATGGCTAGACATGCAGGCATAACAGATGTCCTAATCATCTCTCACACAACCTCGTCGATTGATTTCCGCTCCTTTGCCGATGTCTAACCTCACTATTTCTCACCCTATTATACCACCACCTAACACGGGATGTAGATAGAACTCAGACACCTATGATCAAAGACAGCTAGTCTTTTCATGTCTTCCACTTTCACTGGCCAAATCTCACAGCCTTTATGGCTGGTTGACCCAACTAGCTACACTGACGCTGGAAAGAATGTTTCCGCAGGTCCTACCATGTCAGAAAGGTTGTTTGTGTAGCGAATAGACTAAAAGCAATTACCGTCATAGTTAAATTTGTTTACAACTATGTCGGGTGTCTGTAAGTGAAGTCGTACTCCTAAGGAGTAAGGATGTAACAGCCGTGTAAGGTTTATTCCTAAGATAACCAGCCTGTCAGCTATGGTCTGGAGAGGGGAATGGGGTTAGTATACATTCGGGCTTACCTTGCGACGGTAACAATTAAATTTGGACACTACTCTGGAAACTAATTCAGCAAGTTGGGTATGAGGACAAATACTCACAGAAGACATTGGCTAGCGGTTGCGCTATATCGTGAATTGGCAGAAGTTAGAATTCATGGGCTAGTCAATGGATCGAGTCCCAGTGGATGATGAATGGTCAACGAGCTCGCTAGCCTTGTAATCAGAAGATCCTGGGTTCGAACTCCTGTGGTTGGTGCGTACTTATGAATAGTCCCAAAATGGGACGAAACAGCTGTCCAGTATTCCCAGGTTTTCCAATGGTTCTCTAACTAATGTCACCTCGTGATGAAATCCTGTAACTAATTCAAAAAGTCCGTGTGTAACCGTCCTCAAACATTCGTCTCCTGGACTCTGCGGTCACGCAACCCTTGTGCTATTTTTGTTTCAGGTATCCGAAGAAAAAGATCTACTTTTACAGTGTGCGCAGCGGGAAAGTAAAAGCCGCTTACATACTTCCAAAAGCACACTGGACTGTGTTGAAACTCAGTCAGTCAGTCAGTCAGTAGACCCTCGATCCATCGATTGAAAGTCAAATGCTTAAGCCGATGAGCTGCATTACTTCTGATGTAATAGTTTACAATGAATGTCTGCTGTGAGATTCACGCTTTTAACTGTATCGATTTTTGTACAAAAGTATCTTTTAGCGTAAAATTCAATTTTTTGTTTGTTTTGTTTGTTTTTGACGTTCATTCGTAATTATTAGATGTGGGATTCCAGACAGTCTGATTGTGTTTCAAGCATGATACCAAGTGAAGAGTATAAATTCGATGATCAGTTTAATTCAATCAATGAAATGGCTGTATCGAATGATTCTCATGGGACTCTGTTAGCTGCTATTGATGATGGTACATTAGCAGTCTATAATATACGACGGAGACGTTTTGAAATGGCTTCAGAAACACTTGGATTTAGTGCTCGGAGTATTTGTATTGTTAAAGTAAGTCTCCTATTTATATATATTTGTTATTGGTGAGATAATCATAGAGGGAGCATATTTCGTCCTATTTTACACTTATCGGTTATGGATGTAACTGGATTTTCAGGGAGTGGTGCTGTTCCCACTGAAACTGGACTGTCTGTCTGTATGTTTGTTTTCAACATAGAACTTTGCACAGATGCGCAGCAGTTCGAGTGATCACACTCCATGTAGCAAGAGAAGAAAGTAAAACGAAATGCAAAATAAAGACAGTAAACAGAGATATGAGGCAAAAAGAATAGTAATATCGAGGAAGAATATAGTTTTATTGGATATTATAAGTCAGGAAGTCTGCACCTTCCTTCGTGGCTGGCTGGTTTCAACTAACTGTTGTGGATTTCATTGACCGATGAAGCCATGTTTTGGCTCGACCACCACTAGGTTTCTCTTTTCCAACCTGATCAATCCTGTGTCAGCTAATATTGCCCGTCGAGGAAGGTGATGGCTAGGCATGCATGCGTAACACATGTCCTAACCATCTCACTCGATGTAGCTTCACAGCCTCGTTGATTGATTTCCCCTCCTTGACTTACCTATCACTCGACTGATGCCTAACCTCAATATTGCTCACCCTATTATACCACCACTTCACACGGAAGATAGAACGCAGGCACCTTTGATCCGAGACAGCTAGTTAGCCAGGCTTTTTATGTCTCCCACTCTCAGTGGCCATTTCTGCTCACAGCCATAAAAGACGATGGAGCGGACTGATGAGCAGTACATCCGCCCCATGGTTGACAGCCAGCCGGATATCGCGTCTGTTTCCGCCACCAACCGTTCTACCAATAGATTCTAGGTCTCCTGCTCGCCCGATGCTATCGTATGCTGCCTTCGCTGCACCTCTCAGCAGCGTCCCCATCACTATCGAACCCTAGGCTCCCGCCAACTTTACAACGAACCTCCGTATGTCTCCCTCTTCGAAAGCTACACACCATGGGATCTTCATTTCTTCGCAGAAAGTAACAGCAGAACACAATAGCATTCGGTAACAAAATTGTTTATTGACAACCCGATTTACAGACAGATATGTGCAAAATGCATCTATCATATATTGAAACCACAATTTTCACATGTCCTCCATTTTGTGCTTATTTTGTCTTTCTTTCATGTTTTCTATGCTGTTCTACACGAGAATTGTTCATTCCTTCTCTTTGCTATAAAATCCATCTCTCCGCTATTCAATATTCTTGAAGATGATATACATATTTATGTCTGTATACATATACTACTTATAATTCTTATCAGTAGCACACGCCACTAATACACAGAAAATAAGGGAGAATGTACTGATAAATTAGCTGTTGTTATCCTAGAAACTCAGCCGGGATAAATGCAGAATGGATATAATTTCATTGTGCTCAGGGTTTCGTTTACACTCGAGAATAGCGTTCACGGACTTTCTACCCTTAGGTCGTCAGTTGTGTTAGATTTCAGGCATTTTGCTTTGTGACCGAAATGTCGGGTTCGAACCCCAGTGGGTGCGTACTGATGAAGAGTCTCAAGCAGGGATGAAGTGAATGTCCAGTACGTACTGCCGGTTTTTCACTGGTTATCCAACTGATATCAGTCAGTTCCCTCTATTAGTTTGAATATAGAAAAAAGGAACATATTTGAAGGGTAATACGCGCTTGTTTTATTTTGTGGAGTCTCTTCAACTGCGTACATCCTGAATAAATTAATTATAAGTTACAAATTAGTGTATGAACATACTTTTTACAATGATTTCAAACTATAGATAGAAAGTATAAGCAATATAATTTCAAAGATGATGTAAGTAGACAATTATTTAGTGAGTTAAAAGAGTAACTATTTATAGTAGTAATTAGGCAAAGGGGTGGAATTCAAATTTCTCTTGGAAACAAGGACAGACTAGAGACAAATTACAAGATAAAACAACAGTTAATTTACACATATTATGGTGGAGAGTCCAGAAGGGTGGGTGGGGGATGAATAGTGAAGTATAATTATAAAATAGATAAAAATAATTTAATTTTGGTCGATTTGGAAACTTAGCAGTGAGTTCAAATCAGTCACTGAGTAAAAATCAAAATCAAGATTGAGTAGAATGTTATGCAGCAGAAGAAAAAACTCAAAAACACATGAACAAAACAGTTATGGTTACCAGGGTAGTGAGAGATTAGTCACACACTATCTTTCTGTATCCATACATAGGTTGGGTCGAAGTCTTTTAATGGCAATAACTTTTGCTGCTTCTGATATCAGTCAGCTCATGAACAATCCTGTATAACCAATCAAATCTCTACAAAGTAGCACAAGATAATTAATCCGATGCTCACTGCTGATTGGCTGTATGCAGTAAGTTACCTGGAATTCTTATGGGAAGTCGTCATCACCAAGTCAGGTAGGAGGAGAACAGCTAATCGCCTATGATGCTAACGACTGGCAGCTGCGTTATACACATCGTGAATTGGCAGAAGTTGGGATTCATGGGTTGGCCATTGCATCGGCTTCCAGTGACCGAATGGTCTATGAGCTCACCTTGTAACCAAAAAGGTTCTGGATCACAGAAACCTGGTGCATTTATTCCCCTTGATGAAGTTGAATAAAGCAAGAACAACAGTGGTTTGTGCAGAATAATATGGTACCATCATTTATTTCGTAGGCTTCTCATCAGCTACTTACAGCCTAAATAAATTATGAGGTTTACGTACAGAAAAGTTTTAACATACTTGCAAATTTTACATGTTGTCAGTTGACAAAAGTTCCACAGTAAGTGAACAGTGCTCACAAAATTGCGCTTATATAGTTTTTACACTGGAAGTTCAAGTTTAAACAAAATAGATGTATGCGTACAATGGTAAAAGAGTTACGTAATAAAGACGAAATATGCGTTAGATACAGAGTGACTAATAAATTAGGTAACAATGTACTGAGTTCAACTCAAATCATAGAAACAAGAGACAAGCAAAATTACAGAATATAAAAGGGGGTGAGGTTAAAAACAAAGATTACATAATCAGATGAGAGAATAAAGACATTCAGTTACCAGGACAAGGAAAGTTTAATAACTGCTTCTTTCTGAACACTTAAATCTGGTTTCAAGCGTTTGATAGAGATTGCTTCGGCAAACTTGAGGAGAATGGAACTCCTTTGTCTATTGATAATTTTAAATTTTCTCGACACGGGTCATGAGGTAGAAATCGAGAAATCCTTTAAAATTATCAACAGATAAAGGAGTTCCATTCTCCTCAAGTTTGCCGAAGCAATCTCTATCAAACGCTTGAAACCAGATTTAAGTGTTCAGAAAGAAGCAATTATTAAACTTTCCTTGTCCTGGTAACTGAATGTCTTTATTCTCTCATCTGATTATGTAATCTTTGTCTTTATAATTTATTTAGGCTGCAAGCAGCTGATGAGAAGCCTACGAAATAAATGATGGTACCATATTATTCTGCACAAACCACTGTTGTTCTTGCTTTATTCAGAAACCTGGTGGGTGGGTGGCTGTGTGCTGATGGAGAGTCTCAAGCTGGGACGAAACAGCCGTTCAGTACTCCTTACTAGTTTTTTTCCAAAATAGTTTTTTAACTAATGAAATCTCTGTAAACCAACTCTTCGTAATCAAGCATCTTTTCTTTGTTTTTATTATAGAATGATCAAAAAGTGCTTGTCGGTACTGATGAAGGTGTGATTTGTGTTTTTAATTGGAATGAATTCGGTAATATCTGTGATCGTTTCCCTGTACATCCATTACGACCTTCAAAACATGGACAGGCTAGAACTGCTACTGTTGGTGTGCATTCTGTGGAGAAAATTGTTAAGATATCAGAGGATGTTATCGCTGTAGCTACGGATGATTGTGTGATAAGGTGAGAGATGCACTCTTTTTGAAATGCGATATGTATACTAAGTGAAATGTATGAACTGTTGGTTATCGTAGGCTATGTCGGAGTGTAAAATCTTTTGGAGTTGGGTCAGTTTTGTATTCCTTTTCCTACAGATGAAAGGATGAAGAAGGTTGCTTAGTTGGCTTTCTGGTCGTCTCAGTAAGACACACCTTAAAGTCATCATATCCCATTCGGTTGAGAGTACAAGTTTGCTTCCATGTACCCTTCTGTACTTTAAACAGCTTTGGCAATAACAGCAACTGCCTTTAGTCCTACTGCTATCTGATCGATCTTGGTGGTACAATAAACATTTCATAGACAATCGTGTTACAGTCGATATAACTCTTTGATTATTGCGATATGCGGCCATTACTGACGCTTCATGTGAGGTCCATTACATTGCCGGATGCCCAACTTATCGCTGCTTATTTGGTTTCCACCTAAGGACCTTATGTATGTTGGCATTTCCCGACCGAAAGCTGCTACTTTTACGTAGTGGTCGGGCTTAAACACCGCAATGACCCAGCAAGCTATACTGGCTGAGACTTATGTCGCTTGAGGTCCTACCATGCCAGAAAGGTTGTCTGGATAGCGGTTAGACAAAAAGCAGTTACCCAACCCAATGCTATGACTGAAAGTAAATCATAAAATATCATGCCGGGTTGGTCGGGGGCCCGGACTAACAACGTCCGCGCTTCCTGCTGCCGTGTCACAGGGCAGAAGTGATAAATATGCTACTGAGACACACCAAATGAAAAAGAACAAACAAAAACAGGCCGTGTGTGACCGGCCTCAAGCAGTTGTCCCCTGGGCTCTGCGGTCACGCAACCAACTTCCACGGTGTGGGCAGGCAGGAAGTAACAATCGCCCTCACAATCCGAAGTGCACGCGAAACCTCTCTAATCCTCACTCATCTTTGTCTTCATCTTCATCTCTATTATCTTGCCTTCCTTCTACTAATGCAACTTCTCTACTTGATGGCTCTTCACTTCCTCTTCACTCTGTGTGCACTGAAAACGACGGAAGCCAAAAAACCACCATCGATAGTCCCCTAAAGCCACTCCACCATGTTGGCATTTGAATGCCTTCTTAGCCTGTGTCCAACTCATCTGTTGAGGAGTAAGCTCTTTCTTGACTGATTGACTGCAAGAGTTTCTTGTTGATTCCTCCTTTTGACCCGCTTAATTTTTAGTGTTGAGCGAAATCATCAGCAGTACCAGCTTGCTGGAAAACGTTTTTGTGATATCATTTTATGCTACAAGAAGGTGGATTTCCCTATTTTATCGAAATTTATCAATAGGCCGACGTGGTTTGGAAACTAGTTCGACATTACAGAGTAATGTTTCAAGCCTTTATGAACCTTATTCAAAAAATTGTACGATAATGTCTCAAGCTAAATGATTCATTTTTAAGATAAAGACAGGAGTAGGACAAGACTGATAAAACTCCTGAATGCGGTGGACTGAGTCATACAACAGACAGTAGGCGCACATACGTTGGGCTGACGAAGACAATTGAAGACCTGGACTTGGCAGTTGATTGATGTGTTTACTGTCACACAAACTTAAATATCTACAGGTGAAAACCGCCAACAAGCTGGCGGAAGTGTGGCTGTCAGCGAAGACACGTATGACTTCTTCTCAAGTGAACATAAAGAAGACGCTGGTGATGAAGAGATATCTAACCAGTAACAATAAAAATCAATCATTTTTAGCAAATGGGAGAAATCTAAAACCATAGGCACTTCTTTTACTTACTTATCTAGGCAGCATCGTTTCAACTAGACACAGTCGGTGGCACAGATTGACGATGTAAGATTCAGCTGGGATAGCGAAAAAGCTAGGCAGAAGACCTTCATTATTTTCTGAAATTAGAGTTACTGAGCGTAAAGTTTGTTAGCCTACCTTCAATTTTTTCCTTCAATTTCAACACACACATTTGATTTTATTATTGTGATCCATGATAGTTGTTAAGTGATTGTAGAGAAACCACGAAATGATAACATTATCTCGTGATATTTTTGTCTTCTTAATGTCTTTTTGATATCGTGTTATGCCGCAAAACACGACCTTTCTTTCTTTATCGAAATTTATCATGGGACTCACGGGTATGAAGTATTTCGCGATTTCACCATGAGCTGAAATCGGTTAGAGATCTTGGGAGTACTGGACAATCGTGTCGTTCTTGTTTTTGGACTCTTCATCAGTACGCACCCACCGGGGTTCGAACCCGGTGCTCACTAGCGACCGACCGTATTCAGGTAGATAGTGTTACCTGGGTTCTAGTTGGAAGTAGTGACCAGTGGAGGTACAGCAGGTCGGGTGGGAGGACAAATACTCGCCAGCGATGAAATTGACCAGTGGTTGGAATTCATGGACTGACCAAAGAATTTGGTCCCAGCGTCTGAATCGCCTACGAGCTCACCTTGTGTAACTGGGAAGTCCTGAGTTCGAACCCCGACAGGTGCATACTGATGAAAAGTTTCAAACTAGGCTGACGAAACAGCTGGCTGTCCAGTACTCACTACCGGTTTTCCATTGGTTCTCTACACTGATGTCAGTCAGACCGTTATCAAACCTCTAAACCCCAACACTTGATAATTATCGACATTTATCAAGGATCTGATGTGTTTATAAGCTCCTAAATTCCCATTTTTTTTGACGACTCTGAATACATAGTTGTCATTATAAGTGATAAACAGTCTTATCTTTCTGGTTTGTTTCCTGTTTTTTTTTGTTGCTGTTGGTGAAACCGTCTAGTGCTGTCAACATCCTGCCAAATCGTCTGTTAGGCTGTGTTGGCTGTCATACAGATACATCGGAGAGTTGTTCCACTGGAGCAGATTGTATCACTCTGTCAATTTGTCCACCTATAAATACACTTGCATCAGCTTGTCCAGCCAATTCATCAGTGAAATTTTGGAATACCACGAAGTGGATTGAACGCGGGGAATGTGAGACAGCTGATCTTAAACTACCTAAGCATAAAAGGCAACTACAAAGTTCTAAACTTAAAGGAGTGAAATCACGTCGTCTGTGTTTGACCGATACACAAGAACGTATGGAATATTTGGAGGGTTTATTACCGCCAAAAACAGAATGGAATGCATCATCAGCTAATGGTGGTGATTCTGATTCTTCTTCTTCTTCTGAAGTCGATGACTCCTCTGACTCTTCCTCCTCCACCTCCTCCTGAGATTGTATAACTAACACCTAGTCAGTCATTCATTGACAAGGAACTTGACAACTTTTCTACTCAATTTGTGTCTAATTTTAATTATTTTCTATTATTTTCTGTATAAAGTGAGCAATTTTGTCAACTAGTGAGTGTAATAATATATATATATATATATAAGCATTTTTGAGAATGTGGAACAGTATGAGTTGCGTTTTTTTAAAAATTTTATTGGAAATATTAAAAAGACAGATGACGACAATAGCGAAGAAAATTTCCCCTTCGACAAAGTCACCAACTAGGCTGTACATTCGCATATATATATGTAATAATTATTATTGTTTCCTTTAATTCCTAGAGGAACATAGGGCTTCAGCCGTACGTCTCCATTGCGTTTGGTTATCTGCTAGAGTCTTCACCTGGCTCCATGTCTGCCCACACATTTTCATCTCCTCTTCACATGACCTCCTCCAAGTCACACTTGCACTGACGACCAACTCGCCGCTTCCCTTTCGGGTTCCACTCGAGCAATGGCTTGTCTAGTGATGTCACTTGATGGTTTCCTCAGAGTATGGCCAGCTAATCGATCTCCATCTCTTCCTGCTTATTTGTTTCACAATTGGTTCCTGCTAGATTGGTTCGCTCATTGCCAGAGATCTCTGTTGCTGATGTTTTCTGGTCATCTGATCTTGAGTATTAAGCGAAGACAACTGTTAATGAAGGTCTGTAGTTTGTTTGAGATGTTCTTTATGACGCGCTAAGTCTGTCTCTGATCCGTATAGTAGCACTGACTTCGGTCGGTCGGTCGGTTTTCGACATAGAACTTTGCACATATGTGCGGTAGTTCAAGTCGCCACACTCCATGTAGCACACAAAGCAAGAGAAGAAATGCATAATATAGACAGTAAACAGAGGTGTGAGACAAAGGAATAGTAATAACGGAGAACAAAACAGTTTCATTGGAAATCATAAGTCACAAGGAGTGGATGCATCTGCACCAGCCATTGAGAACGATTTTGAGCAATGTCACCAATTGTTTCCAACCATTAGTTTTTACCGTCCCGAGGACCCCAACCAGGAAGTCTACATCTCCCTACGTGACTTGGACTAACTTGTGGATTTCATTGACTGATACCATGTTTCCGTTTGACCGCCTCTAGCTCTTTTCCAGCCTGGCCCTATATCAGCTAACATTGCCTATTGTGGAGGAAGGCGATGACTCGGCATACGTAACACATGTCCTAACCATCTGAGTCGAAGTAATTTCACCGATTCGTCGATTGATTTCCCCGCCTTACCTAGCACTCGACGTCTAACCTCAATATTGCTCACCTTATTATACCACTTCATGCGGGAGATGGAACGCAGACACCTATGATCGAAGACAGCTAGTCTTTTCATGTCTTCTGCTCTCAATGGCCAGGTCTCACAGCCATAAAAGAGGACGGGGCTAAATGATGAGCAGTACACGCGCATTTTGGCCGATAGTCGGATATCACGTCTACGCCAGAGACGGCGTAAACTGGCGTATGCGGACCTAGCCCTCTGTATTCGTGCTGATATTTCGTCTGAGATCAACCCGTTGGCACTGGCTGATGGTATTTCCCAAGTAAGTGAAGCGGTCAACGTACTCTACCACTTCACTTCCTGTTTCTAATCTAGGAGTCGGTGAAGTCCAATCCTGCAGCATCATCTTACATTTTACAGGGCACTGACTTCACATTGGAGTTGAAAATCCCGATCTTATTTATCATGCTGAGTGCTGTTGACCTCCACACAGACTTGAGAGTAGTGAAAGCTTGTCTCGCTTTTCCGATTCTTGCTTTGATATCTTCGTCAGTAGTGTCCGCCTGTAGTTGAAACGATGCTTCCCAGGTAGGTAGGTAGGTGAAGGAGGTTGTTTCTTTCAGGTTTCTCCCATGTATGCTGATTGTTCTCTGTTGTTGTTGTTGTTGCTGTTGGTGGTGTTGCCCAGGAATCTTCATCACCTCTGTTCTCTCTATGTTCACCTGAAGTCCTTCACATCTTTGATGCTTTTTCTATCACCAACTTGTTGCTTTTCGCTTGCATATCTTCCAGTTTGTGGGAAATCAGAGATACATCACATCGGCGAAGTCCAGATCCTCCAAGTTTTTTGTGTGAGTCCATTTTATGCCTGTTTCCTCATTGCCCGCCGCTGTTTGTCGCATTATCCAATCTACTGCAATCAGGAAAATCATTGGCGATATATATATATATATATATATATATGTAACAACAGAAGACAAGGGCCAGGTAACAGATCGTTTATTAAGGAAATCAACAGATATTTATAGATTTTCATGTACATTATTATAGATTATTGTAACCAAATAAACACAGTCTTCTGACTGGTGGTTTCTCGCTGAACGTTAATCCTTCATCTCTTTGTGGCCGTTTCTTGAAGTTCAGATTATCTATCTGCAAACTGTATCCGCCTACGCAAAGTATGCTGTGATTGGTTGCTGGTTGGGTTAGTCTTTGTTCTTATTTTTCTCATGACCAATACTGGGGACGTAAAGATTGACGTAAATGACTGTCTACCACTTTTGGCTAGCAGCCAGCTCCCACCACACTATTATTATTTCATTCCTTTACGTTTCTGGTGGAACATAGGGAGGGCTTCAAGCTAGAGCTTTGGAGTTTTGGTAACAGTGGTGTATATTTTTTTTACTGGATGGGCTTGCTAGACAGCCACATGCCTAACCTTCTCTCTTTACCAGTCTTATTACTAGCCTACCAAGGTAAAGGAGTGTGTCGGTGGCCAAGGATCGAACCCAGGACCACGTAAGGCCTGGTTGGCTGGATTCAACATAGAACTTGGCACATAAGTGCAGCAGTTCGAGTTGCCACGTTCCAAAGAGCACACAAACGTAGACAAGAAGATGAGTGAAGAGAATCAATAGAGTTTTGACAAGTATAAGAGTGAAACAGAATGAGTAATGGTAGAAAGGAATACGAAAGATTACAGAGACTGAATGCATCTGCGTAAGCCATTGACAACGATTTTGAGCCATGTCACCTATTGTCTCCAGCCATTGATTCTTAGAGTCCCGAGGGCCCCAACCCGGAAGTCTGCATCTCCCTACCTGAGTAAGGGATTTCATGGATTGATGCCATGATTTCGTTTGGCCACCACTTACTCTTTTCCAATCTGCGCCTATATCAGCTAGTAATGCCCGTCGGGGGAGGCGATGGTTAGGCATGCGCAGCACGTGACCTAGCCATCTCAATCTGTGTAACTTTATAGCCTCGTCGATTGATTTTCCCTCTTTGCCCAACACTCTACGCCTAACGTCAACATTACTAACCTTATCATACCACCTAACGTGAGAAAGAGATCGTAAACATCTGTGGTCAAAAACAGACAACCTTTTCATGTCTTCAACTCGTATTGGCCATGTTTCAGAGCCATAGAGAAGGACGGAGCGAACTGGTGAGCAGTACACACGTCCCTTGGTTGATAGTTGGATGTCACGCCTACGCCAGAGACGGTGTAAGTTAGCGAAAGCAGCCCGAGCTTTTTGGATCCGTGCTGAGATTTCGTCACCAATCAATCCGTTGGTGCTGATACAACTTCCCAAATAGTTGAAGTGGTCAACATGTTCTATCACTTCACTCCCTATCAATAAGCTAGGAGTTAACGTAGTCCAGTCCTGTAGCAGCATCTTACATTTTACAGGGGCATGGTTGGCGAGCATTCTACCACTGTGCCACCTACACTTCTTAAGTATATATATATATGCACGATTGTACAGCCTGAATAAACTTCTCTCGGATGCGACAAATACTTCCTTTCCCAGGCAATTCAAAATAATCTAAATTATATTTACAGTTCCCGTTGTTTTGTTTTCCCAATAACAGCAATAATCATAATAATAATAACAATACCAAACTGTGTTTATTAAACGAATTCCAGAAGACAGAAGAGGAGAAACACCCACCAAAAATATATGCACTGAAATATCAATTCGTGTTTTGCTGTTTTTGTAAATTATTGGTTGCATGCACACATCTATACACAAACACCAGCACACAGAGTAGCCCACAGTCCCCAATCTATGCCCAACCTCATGCAAAATAAACAGAAATATTCCAAGAATTAAGTTAAGTAAATAATTTCACTCACTCACACACACACATACACGCACAGAGAAAGTAGGAAGGAATCAATATGTACATACCTATCCAGGTTAGGCATGAATAATCCCCATCCAGCCATTAATGTGAAAACAAAACACGTGTAGTTCAACGAAGAGTCTCTTTTCGCCGGCGAAGTCATTCACTCTTAGCTGTACACCATTTCAATTATATACAACTATATTTTGTCTGTGTGTGTGTGTGTACATTAGCTTTGACCGATAAGAATAAAAATAAGTCAGGGTTATTGTTGTCAAGACATTTCAAAAATGTGATGAGTAATCAAACTGTAACTAGGGTTCGAGGGGGAGGGTGAAGAATGGTAAGAGGGTAGTGGGTGACCCGTTGTTATTTAATAAGGTGAATAGTTTAATGAGTGAGTTGTGATTAGGATGTACATAGAAACAAAGGATAAAATATGGAATAATAATAATAGCTTTATTCCAAACAGTATTTGTGGTACAGGTATGGAATTTTCAGTAAAGAGGGATGGGTAGAATACAAGAGTTGACAAACTGAGAAAGCAAAGACTGCTTTATACCAACCAGACTGTCTTAACTTCCTAACATAGAACGTTAAGCGAAACATCATCCTAGTAACTAGCACGATGTGAGAGGACCAGGAAAGATCGGAGGAAATACTAAGTCCAAGGTACTTGACATTAGATGTAAATTCAACCTCTGTGCCGTCAATGATAGTGGGACCATGTGAGCTAGCTAGTTGTTGTAGGTCACTTTTTCGCCTGAAAGTGAAAGTTACTACCTGACATCTAGACGAATTCAGCTTAAGACCGTTTGAAGAGGACGACTGACTATTTTCCGAGAGAAAGTTATTTAATTTGGAACAATCTGACTGAGAGTTGACAGGCATAGAGACAGAGAGGTCATCAGCATACTTGACAAAGTGGCTACATCAGAATGGGGTAAGTCATGTAAGAAAAAAGAAAACAGAAAAGGAGGAAGAACAGCACCCTGAGTGAGGAACACCAGCTAA